CCTGTATATCATTTTCATAATATTTTCTTTTAAGGCATTACATGCCGTAAATTTTATACCTGTGGTCCACAACTGTTCCCAGTCAGCAAACATAATGTTATGTCCAACGTCCTGTGCCCATTTAATCATAGCAGATTTAACCGTCTCGTCCTGAGTGTTCCATTTTAACAGCAAGTTATACATTCTTGAAAGTATCTTTGTTTTAGGATCTAACAGTTCTTAGAAATTTTCAGGTTAGACACATAAAGGGTGTGAGACTTTTGAAGTCTACCATGCTTGCAAATGTATGTTGGGCTGCTCCATCAAACAGTGTTTGTATTAAGCTGCTTGCTACCTCTTTATAAACACTTACGACTGATGTATCAGAAGTTCAGACTTGTTACAGAATTATTTTATAAGAACTGCTGCATACAGTGGTACCTCAGGTTAAGAACTTAATTTGTTCCGGAGGTCCATTCTTAACCTAAAACTGTTCTTAACCGGAAGCACCACTTTAGCTAATGGGGCCTCCCGCTGCCGCCGCACCACCGCCGCATGATTTCTGTTCTCATCCTGAAGCAAAGTTCTTAACCCAAGGTACTATTTCTGGGTTAGCGGAGTCTGTAACCTGAAGCGTCTGTAACCTGAAGCGTCTGTAACCCGAGGTACCACATTATAGGCACTGGGGATCCACACACCACTTTCTAAGTGCACCATTATGAAGAAGAGGCAACAATAGCTACTGTATATGTACTGATGGCTTTGATTCCTAGCACAATCTTGAGCATGTTTCATCAAGTTCAATGAGGCTTGCTTCCAGGGATGTGTGAATTGGATTTGAGCCTCAATTTGCCACTGAACAGAACAAGCTAAAAAGAGTTTGGAAAAACCCTACTGTCTTCTTCAATTGCTTTGAAATAGTGGATGTCAAAAGTATGCATCTTGGAAGAAAAGAAAGTATTTCCCCTCCTCCTACAAGTACATAAGCATAGCTAGTTATTAATATGTGGCATTCCAACCCATGTCTATGCAACACTGTATATTTCATGGTATCTGGAACAAAAGCAACTTGGAAGATGTCGCTCACATCTGCAATTCATCTGTAGAAGCCTTTCTTCTACAATGAAGAACATGAGATAAGGTGCAAATCGACTAGAATTACTAGGTTAGGGCACCTTGTCCATTCTGGATTGCTTTATCAGGACCAAAAGAATTGTGGGTGAGCTAGTTCTCCTGAAGTTGCCTTGTGCGGGAATGGCAGCTCAGTGGATGCAAGAGGTCCTAGGTTGAATCCTCAGCATCTCCTGGCAGGGTAGGAAGAGTCCTGTCTGAAATCTTCGAGAATCATGGCCAGTCAGTGTAGAGAATAGCGAGCTAGTTGTACCAATGGTCTGAATCTGTGTAAGGCAACTTCCTATGTACTTCCATAACCTAAGAGTAATGGGTCCATCTCCATTCCCATCGTGCTTGTGAAAGGCTGTACCAGCAAAATCTTATGATGAGGAAATAGACGGCGTCCGAATGACAAGCATGCTAAAGCTGTCGCTCCAGGAACATTTAAAGTAGGATAATTACAGATCAGCCACATTTATTTATTTAGAAAATTTATTACCTGCTCTTCAGCATTTGGTCCCATGGTGGGTGACAACAATGTAATTAAATAATTTCAAACAAAACAGTTCCAAAACAAAATCAAAACAATTTGATCTACCCAAAGCTGCATGGTGCAATGACTTTAACTCATGACAGAGAGTGTCCCAGTGTCCCCAGACACCCCCCAAAATCTTCTCTAGAGGATCCCTCAACATTTTGGAGCCGATTTTAGGGTTCTGCAGGGGATATGTCCATTATGGAAGTGGAAGTCTGTTGTGCAAGTGGAATGACAGCATTGGATACCACTCATGTATTCAGATCTATTCAGACACAATGGGACTTACTCCTAGCTAAGTAGATATAGGGCTGCAGCCTGAATCAGGCAGCTGGAAGGGAAATGATGTAAGGGGAAAACACAAACACATCATGGAATGATGCAAGATTCTTAGCACTACTGAGTAGAAGAAGCAAGACAAAAGGTCTGGTGCCTGGAATGTCTTCTTGCGAAGAAATGTTGCATTTCACGCAGAAAGTTACCCATCAACGAGGCTTATTCATTTCTATCACTTATGATGTCCCTGAGACTGGAACAACAAGATTGTTGGTAGTAAAAGCTCTGCAGACAGGACTGGGAATTAATAGCTCCCCCATTCCTTGGTGTTCAAATGTCAGTGGTCATCTCAAGTGGTATCATAAACATGGGCCATTACATCCCAAATCATCATGTGTAAATAAAGTCGAAGTTTGTTCTTACGCTGAGCACCCTATGAATTAGCCTGGTTTTCTCATGGCTTCCCATCCACAAATTATCAAAAGGTGCCTGCAACCATTCCCTATTCAAATGTTGACATTTCCTAAATCATTCTATTGATCTTTCTTGCCAGGTTGGCAGTATGTAAGGGATGCAATGTGCTATTAATTTAATGGATAGTTCTGGTAAATGTCAAGATTTTTAATGGCATATACTATTTTATTAAATATGCTAATAGCCTCGTGATAACGGAGTACACCAAGTGGGATTTAAGTTAAAAGGGCAACGTTGGACCTTTCGTTTGCCCAGCTGCTCTGCTCTGCTGCAGAGTCCAAAGATGCAATGCTTGAATAGTAATAAACTGGATTGTATATGCTCATGTTTCTAGCTGATGGATCATGTGGAATGCTCCTAAAGGGGCCCGGTTTGTATTTGGTTAAAGACTTCTGGGACAATGCTAGGGGGTTATCCTGTGAACAGGATTATCTGTGAAGCAAAAAATGCAAGCTATGAAGGTGGAGGGGAGAATGGAATAAATTTGGCTAACATGCTGGCATATTTCAATGCTGTTGTAGCTACAGTTATATCTCAGAAGTAATTTTTCCCTGCATGTATGGGGCTGGGTTGGGGCAGGAGGTGAGGGGGAGATGTAGAGGGCTGCAGTAAAAGGGCATTTATAGAAAACTCCTCTTGAAATATTTTCTTTCCAATGGCTACATTTCTTAAGTTACAACATGCTTGGTTCAGAGACCTGGACACTCTTCACCGTTTCGCCACAATTATGTATCCATAGCTCCAGAAAAACCTCAAGGTCTCCAAGTTTTCTTTAACTCCACTGTTTTCAGAAAATGAGATTGATACTTTTTGAGTTGAAGCTGCTGATTCCTGGCTGATGATGGCCCTCTCCCACTCAATCCAGCAAAGTCACAACAGAATTGGTTAAAACAAGGATTGGTCAACAGCTGATGGATAGGGACCTAGAGGATCTATGGTGGACAGTCCCGCTAACACTGCCACTGTTTGGATTTTGTTTGATTAGTTTTTGAAATATGCAAAAAGGAGAATTCTGGGACTGAAAGGAAAAGGCGTTATCCAATGCAAAATCACAAGAAGCTCCATTATGACAATAACTGAGTAGAACAAAGGAATTCCAGCAGATGCATAAACAACAACAGAAGAAGAAGAATTGGAAGCCTGCAGGCACCCAATTGGTCACTGTGAGGATAGGATGGTGGATTAAATGTGCCATTTACCTGATCCAGCAGGCTCTTCTTATGTTCTTATGTTGAATGTATATGTGAAACCAGAAGTCTTCTTAAGTGTCTGGGTTGGGGCTGAATACAGTGGAAACAAAGAGCTAAAGGGCAGGAGGTGACTAGCAGGAGTAGTAGGCAGAGGCAGAGAGAGAAAAGTACGTTTGGAACAAAGACAACACTTCCTAAATTGGTCCCCTTTTCTAAAACATCTGGGAGGCTTGCAATCAACCAAGTTTTACTGCAGAATACTTTCATTAAAGTATACAGCATTATCCCAAAGGATGTGGTTTGTGGACTGCATCCTTAGGCCACAGTTCTTTTGGAATGTGCCATTGCCTTACATTTTCTGATCCTAAGCACACTTAGAAAAATCCCCAAGGTTTTAATCTGGAACCCATTTAGTTTTGTGTTCTTTTAATAACACCAATTGGACCTAGTGCTGTCACTGATCCACCACTTGGAGCCTTCCCCTACAGCAGCCCATTAGCTGTGATCTGCCCCTTGCATCTTAGAGATTTTTGAGATATTCCACATGCGTTCTGACGATATTCGTAATTAAACAAACATCAGTAACAGGAGCCAATATTCAATTTGATTTACAGAGTATGTAGGAAAGCCTTACTCTTCTTGGCAGGAAGATGATTGTTGGATTAGTCTGTGGTTCATCTACTTAAACATAATCTATGAATTACAATTGCAGGCAAATAGTTCTTTCACCAGAGTATGATGACATCCCAGGGAGTGTTCCAATGGGTCAGGCAAGGGCTCAGACAAAGAAAGCTCAATGTTTTAGCTCGCCTGGTTTCATTACGATGATGGCATTCACTCTCCTGCTCCTAAAATTAATGTTTTGAAACTAAAGACCAGCTTTCCGAAAGACTATTTTAAAGCCTACCTTTCATTCGGTTTTTCAGGTTTGAGGGCATCCTTTTTTGGGGGGGGGTCCCATGGCTAAGCTGGACAAACTCTAGTAGGCTTCTCCCAAGATAAGGGGCAAAATGGGAAATTAGACTGTTGTGGGAGGTGGGTGGTTGAAGAAATAAAGATGAGGTGGGAGGATACATAAAGATAAAGCATAAAGTCATGTGCATCAGAGCAGAGGCACCAAGAAACATGGGTAAAGGTGGGAGCAAGTGAGGGGGAAAGACCAAGCTGCTAGCTATCAATGAGAGAAATTGAATGAGGAGCTTCCATTTGTAGGAACTAGCCAGGATTTAGACTGGAAAGCTCCTGGGTAGAAGGCAAAGTTTCCAGTGAGCAACGAAACTGGAATTACCTTGGGATAAGGAAGAGTGGACAAAGAGGTCAGTTGCCTTATGTAAGGCAAGACTCACCTACTCTGAAATAGGTAGGTAGTCGTGTTGGTCTGCCGTAGTCAAAACAAAATTTAAAAAAATCCTTCCAGTAGCACCTTAGAGACCAACTAAGTTTGTCATTGGTATGAGCTTTCATGTACATGCACACTTCTTCAGATACCTGAATCTGAAGAAGTATCTGGTATCTGAAGAAGTGTGCATGCACACAAAAGCTCATACCAATAACAAACTTAGTTGGTCTCTAAGGTGCTACTGGAAGGAATTTTTTTATTTTGTTTCCACTACTCTGAAATGTAGAAGCATTAGAATATATCTGGTCAGGATGAATGTTCATTGCTGTGTAACTCCCCCACAAACAAAACGGAGTGAATGCTCAGTGAAGATGAGATAGTATCTAACCTCCATGTAAGCTTTGTGCCAGCAAAGCAGGATGAATGTAAGGACATCTGGATGAGCCCAAGCTCAGTATGTCTGTACTAGGAGTGGTGAACTGGTAGTCCAGATCAGGCCGGCATGACTGTTTGAAGTGGCCCATTAGCCCCCATCATGAGAGTCATGACAGTGGTAGGACCCAGTGCTTTTTTCCTAAAAAAAATAAATGTTTAGGGGTACTCTCATTCCGTTTGAGACTCAGGAAACACCATGACAGTAAATGAGGCTGCCATCGGAGATAGCAATGGAATTGACGATTCACTGTGCTGTTCAATGGAACTGACAATTCACTGTGCTAGAAAAGAAACTACTTTATTTATTTCTTTATTTTAGTTTCTTCTCCTGTTAGATTCACAAAATGTATAGGGGTATGCATACACCTGCATACCCCCAGAACGAAAGCACTGGTAGGATCTGTTGGGGAGCAGGATCTATTGAGGAGCAGGATCTATTGGAGAGCAGGTGGCAACCCTCAGGTTTGCTATCTCTATCTCTCTTTAGTGTTCAGAGAGGTTAAGCTTAATGTCCTATAGTGTTAAGCTTTTCAGAAAATGAGACTTAAACATGAATTGCTAGGCAGTAGCTGATGAGAGTCTTCTTAATGGTGCTGATGTTGTCTCACATACTTATCCTGAAAGAGCAGGTGATGAAGCATACATCACGGGAGAAAAACCTCATCTTAGTTTTATGGAATTGTCCCTGATTTACTGTCACATGTGTGGAAGGATTAGGAGCCTTTCATCTTGATTTATTCTGTTCTGCTGGCCTGCTGAAAATCTGGCAGAGCTTTGTTAACCTCCATTAGCTCCCTGCCTACAAGGGATGCTTAGGGCTTATAATGTTGCTTTTTTTGTATTTTGGGGGGAAAGCTAAGCCTGCATAAAGGTGGTGTTTGTTGCCTAATTAATACTGCACCCAAGCATAAGATTAAAATGCAAACATTTGAAATCTCTAAGTAATTCAGTTTTAATTGCATTTTTCCAGGTGCCTTTGGCCATCTTCTCTTGAATAGAGAAGAGAGCACAATGGCTAAGTTTGGATGATCATACTTTGACTTAATAAACTGAGTTGAGAACAGTTTATTAACCCTTTCTGTGTTCACTTCACTGTGTGCTGGAAAGACATTTTGAAGTCTCTCATTAACCATAGCTTCTCCTTTCACCTGAACCCAGAAACTATGGTTAGTGGATTTGGAACAAGCCAGATTCTTAAGCTACAGTTTGAAGTTGGTTTAAGATCCTGGCTTGTTCCAAAAGCCATTAACCATAGTTTCTGGGTTCAGATGAAACGAGAAGCTATGTTCAGAAGCTTACTGGTTTGATGGCTTATGCCACAAAGGGAGAAGGGCCTACATGCATGGGCAAAAACCTTGTTGATATCTCTGCTTATTAAACAGAGACAATTGTCTAAATGCAGCTGATGAATAGTGATGCTGGAAAATGGTACACAAATTCTGTTCTTGCACATGTAGTAAGTCTGTTGCAGCCTGTATGATAGGATTGCAAGAAGAACCTTAGTCTAACTTACTTGGAATCCAGGTTCCAGATGCAAATACAGGCTCTTTTTCTGAACTGTTCTGTGGTGTAGTTATGCAAAAAAAAAAAAAAAATTGTTATGAGGAAGTTTGATATTGTGGGCAGAGGGGAGAGAAGCCTCAATAAAGCCAGGAGATTGTAAATGAGACTCTGTGCCAATGTTTTTGGCAGGTCGCTGTCCAATTTACAGTTACAAAGAAGCCAGCTTTCTGTCAAAGTGCGAGCTCTTGCATTCTTCCCACACCCCCTTGCCTTTCTTTTTTAAGGGATGAATTCCTACTTGTCTTTCATGCACTTCACCAAGACTCTTCCTTTTCACTGAACACCATGTTCAGCATCTAAGCTGTTCTGCTTTTGTTTGTTTTCTGCATTTGGGGAACATTTAACCAGAAAGAATGTTGCTTCTCCATTTCGCAAACACTTCAAAAAGGGGAGAACAGAAGCCTGAATAATTTCAGGCGGATATAAACTCTCGGCTGGACCACTTTGCATCCAAGACTGGCGAAGGGGAGAAAGAAATACAAGCTGCAAAGCAAACAAAATACACCCTGGAGTTTCTGTATTTCTATGGCCAAAGAATACTGGATTTCAGTGGCTCTTAGCTATATGAAGAAGCCCCCTGATGAGTACGCACAGCCTCCCCCCTTCTACCACCACTGGAGCTAAATCAAAAGCACACACATACTCTCCCCCCATCCCAATGAAGAGAGAAGCATTTCCTCTGCTGCAGGCTCAAGGGTGCATATGGCATTACCTTTTTCATAGAGACACAGGACACCATAGAAAGGAAATATAAAATCCACGGTTTCCCAATTTGCAGGTGGAAGGCTATTATTTGTCATCCTGTATAAGATCTTTCTCCACTCACATAACATAGTAACAGAAGGATCAGCAGAAGACTTTTAATAAGCTAGGCACAGCAGTGTAGCGGCAAGGAGATTTAATGTGTGCATTGAATAATTGAGAACTGGAATTGGCACACATTTAATCTATGCCTCAATCATTGTCGATCTCATTTAGATAGGAGTTAACATTATAAACAAGTGTTTGTTTTATGAATGACAAATATATCTTTGACAACACATAACATAAACCATGGTGTGCTTTTAAAACCCTGCAATAGTACAAATACTGATGATCTAGGGTGTGTGGCCACCCAAGTTCAGGGAGCAAGGGAAAGGATAGTGAAATGAACAGCAAAGATTTGGGCTTACACTTAGTAGATATGAGTTACACTGATGCTACATCTGCATGTTGCATTTAAAGCACTCTTACACCATTTTAAGTCATGGCTTCCCTCAGAGAAACCTGGGGACTTTTGTTTATTAAGGGTGCTGAGAGTTGTAAGGAGACGCCTATTCCCCTCACAGGGCTATAATTCTCAAACTCTGGGAACTGTGGCTCTGTGAAAAGAATAGGGGTCTCCTAACACCCCTTAGCATCCTTAACTGTTCCCAGGATTCATTGGGAGAAGCCACTGGTGATACTCAACTAAGTTTTTCTCAGAGTAGGCTTATTGAAATCATGGACCTAACCTAGTCATGTTAATTAATTTCAGTGGGTCTGCTCTGAGGAAAGCTTAGTTAAATACCTGCCCGTGACTGTTAACATGGGATAATAATGAGTGCAGATGTGGCCTAATTCAGGGCTCTTGGCTAGATTGGGAGGTAGCAGTTTCAATCAGTGATCCCACTAATCAATAATTTATTCCAAAAATATTTAGTCCATTTCTCTGTCACTTTCCTAACCCAAGAAGTCATGTTTTTAAAGTATATTTGTTGTTCCAGAGTGCTTTAATCCACTTTAATGCTACAAACCTAAATTTCCACTATGTAACTGAATACCTCCCACAAAATACTGATAGAGTTTTCCTCACTGTCAGTTCAACTGCTTCCTTTCACATCTCAAACAACAAATCAGTATATGGGTTGGGAGCATAAACTTATAGTGGGTAAGGAATTCTAGTTATTTTTCAAAGTAAATTATTAGTGCAATCAGAGCATGCTCCAGTTCCTATAGAAATGGAAACTCTCCCCCCTCCCTTCTCGTGACTACCATCATATGAGGGAAAGACGGAGCAGAGGGGAGCTTCTTACCCTCATTCTTTCATCAAGATCTTGTTGCTGTTCTAGCATCTTGTCCGTCACATACTGGGGCTGCACTTGTGCAACAGGGAACAGGCTATATTCAAGCAGCCTCCCCATAGAATTAGAACCTGGATGATATTTGAAAGGCCCAGGCCTCCGGCATCCGATGGGATTGGATGGACATCAGAGCACAGCCAGATTCGAACACTCACTGAGGGGAATCACTGAGCTGAAACACTGAGCGAAATCACTGAACAGAACCCAATTCAGAGCTGACCATACTGGCTAGAGCACTGTGTTCCATCCATCGCATCGGAACCATGGCTTTACTCTTGCCTCTACTGCCATTTGCCCCAGCCTCTGAATCATGGGATTCCTACCTCGCTTGGTTCGCCTACTACCTAAATATACCCAGGCCTAAATATACTCAAGTACAGAAGGTTCCTCAGCTGTTTTGGACTACAGTTCTCAAGAGCCCAAGCCAGAATGATGACTGGGTAGATGGGGAGTTTTAGTCCAAAGCAGTCTGAGGGCACCAGGTTGGGGAACATTAGATAGATTGTATGGGCTTTAGAGGTCAATGTTCTTCTTCTCTGAGTATGTATTCATACTGAACAAGGATAGTTACCTCCTCTCCCCCTTCACACAAACACACACAATTTCATTTTTTTATGTTTCATTCCATTGGTTATACTGATGTCAAAATATGAATTAATTAGGTCCTCTGCTTTGAACTTTGAATGTTTTTTCTTTTGCTTCATATTCTTAAATTGAGCCACTGAGCTTCTGGGAAATTCAATCTGCTTCTAGTGTGGGAGCCAACGAAACCGCCAATACCATATGGTAACAGTCAGATGGAGATTGTTATGACATGATCTCATCTTGAATATTTCTTCTTGATGTCTGTGTGTCAGCAAGGAGACAATACAGTAAGGAAAGGAAGGGTGGGGATCATTCAGCATTAACATTCTCTTCTCGTTTTAAACCTTTCTACTCAGCGGTGCTCCAACATTAAGTGTACCAAGACTTCACTTATGGGAACAAATCCGGAAGACAATGAGTCTACTTTTTTGTATATTTTTATCAGCTTTGGCTGATCAGGGGTAGAGAACCTCAGGCCTAAGGACCAAATGCAGCCCTCAAGCCCTCCCTCTCTTGGCCTCAGAATTCTTCCCAAGCCATGC